TGCGTTGGCTACGCTCGAGTCCGTGAGCGAGAGGGGCTCGTGGCGGTACTGCAACGATTCCCAGCCGTACGATACGTACTGCGCTCCCAACGCACACGAGAATTGGCGCATCGTCAAGCGGTTGCACGCCAATTGCATGGTGAAGATGACGTCGCCCGTCATATCGCTTTAAACGACGCAGTGGCCCGGCACCCCGTACATGCTCGTGGACACCATGGCGTCGCATGGCTCCGTGTGGTTCGGGGTGAGGAAAAGGCCAACGATGTCGTTAACGATGTTTGGGCATTCCCCCGTCCCCGTGTACTGGAATCTGATGCAGCGGTACAGCCCGGTGCGGCGGATCGTCTTGGGGTACAAGAAGCTCTCAGCATACGGCACGACTTGGGCTGTCGACGCCGCAGCTTTAAATGTGGCCCAGTGCACCATGCGGCAAACACCGTTCGCAACAACCTGCGCCAGATTGATGCCGCCCAGGACTTGATTGACGTGGCCCAAGTACAGCGCTGTATGCAGCACGACGCAGGCGAGGAGCCCCCGGGCCCACCGCTTGATCATTCCCATGGCCGTGCTGCGAGGCCATTCAAGTCTGGCCGAGCGAGGGGGACGGCGCTGTACGGATTGCGTGTGGCGGAGAGAGTATTTTTGGATCCCAGCGTGGACGACATGTTGGCATGGGGATGAAAACCAAGTGTCTCCATGTACCCTCCTATTCAAGGCCGACCTCTTGCGACTGGGAAACTTGGCGCGGCATCGAGTCGGCAGAACAAGGACGCCCCTCCTCCATCCACCAACACGTACGTGGGTATGCATTCATGGGTGCAGTCCCTGCGTGTCGACGATGCGGCCCGCCAGTGGCGTCTCAGACCAAATCGTGGACCTTGAAACATGTACAGTTATCGCGATGGTCACCGTCATCGCCACATGCGTCATGACAACGACGACCTGACAGCCTTCATCGTGAGGACGGCGGTCGCACTGATGGCTGGGGTCGCAAGCCACGGCGACCTTCCTTCCGCCATCGCAGTCGCTTGAGCGATCTTCGCCATGTTTACCAAGACGACGGCCACAATCTCGTCGCAGCTGCACTCCCCGTGATGCATATCGGAGGCGCGGGTGCTCCACGTCTGGTTACCATCCCAAGTTCGTGCTGCATTCACAGCGCTCGGGATGCGCGTCTGTCGCCGCCGTCGCGGCGCTGAATGGCATTTGGGCATTCGCCCAGACGCACCATGTCCCCACGCCTCGTTCAACTTGAAGGTCGGCATAGTCAGGTGGCGGCAGGCTGCGAAACTCCATCTGATCCTCCCCCGCAAGCCATCGCCGCTTTCCTCCCACAACAGCAGACAAGAGAATGCACTTGGAACATCTCACAGAGTCGCAGTGGGGCGACCTCGAGGCAGACATGATGTGCCTCGTCGACGAGGCCATGCAAAGCACTCCGCAGATGCGGACGCGACCCAGCAGGGGTATGCCCTCGCGTCGGAGAAGCCCAACATGCGCATTCTCGTGAAAAAGGCACCTGCGTCAGTGAGTACATGGAGCTGAGCTACTGCGACACAACGGACGCCCTTCGCACACCACTAGCGCACTACTTCCGCGGCAATCTCCTCCATGCAACGACTCTCGCACTCAAGTTACAAGTAGCTCAGCTTCGCAATCAGCGGCGGTTTGCTTGAGCCCCGAGACACAACGTACACGTCGAGGTGTCTGGCCTCGGAACGAACAAAGCGTCCTCTTCATCGCCCGGGAGTCGCTGAACCTGGAAGATTATCCGCCCGTCGACCACGTCGTGCGATTCCACTTCAAAACGCTCCTCCTTCAAACGCATGGCGACGATTACATCGCGGACGCCCTGCACTTGCTGTCGAGTCCGCTGGGGAATCTCCAGGCGTTTGTCTTTAACAAGGTCGCGCACGCATCGATGTATATCGTGGACGCCTTCCCGCTCCTGCTGCAGAAGATGCGCCTCCTCCATGCGTTGGTCACTCGCGCGCCGCCGAAGAAACAATCTGAATTCCAGTGGACGGTGCACATTATATATGAAACAGAAAACGTCGCGACTGTGCTGTGCGTGCCAACGCTTCCGATCCGCACACGCCTGCGTCGCATGCGGTACGCACGTCCTCTTCCGTCCAACACTCGTACCGACATGGTTGCAGGCGATGTGCTGGCAATGCGTCGTTCCGATTCCACGCGTTGTGCCTGGGACGCTGAATTCGATGTCGGTCGTCCTCGACGAAGTGTGCAAGCTGTGCTTTGTGTCGTCGGCAAGGGTGGGCGGCGCCGGTGGCACGTTCATCTCTCGTAGTACGTGATGCCTTGTGTGTAGGTCGACCAAATCTCCCATGCATCGATCGACCTCGTTGTCGAGTAGGTTCGCAGAGCTCGCTGTGTAGCATCGACTCGTACTACGACAACTCAGATAGCCTCGACACTGTCGATCTGCGGTCCACCGTGAGCACTAGAAACGAATGTGAAGACGATGGCGAAGGTCTCAGCGAAGACACCAACACTGCTGGGATCGGGCGAATGAAGTTCGGCATCTCGATACCGCGCCAAATCGTGCCAGAAACGATATAGCAGCTGCCGGAGTGGCATTCGCTTCACGACGGTCGCTGTAGCTCAGAGCGGCCTGACCTCGCTCGGCAACGTCGACGGCGTGCTCTCCACGTTGTCCCATCTAACCGACCCTCATCTGTGGAAGCCGCTGCGCCAACATCCAGAATATGCGACGGTGTCAAGAAATCGTCGCTGCAGAAAATGAATTTGCCAAATATTTTGCCACACCCTAAAAATGATACTTCACGCAAGGGTCAAAAATAGAAAATGAGTCGTTCGAAAGTTATGTCATATTTGAAGAAAATGACACTTGAACTTGGAGAATATTTGACGTGACAACAACGAATTTGCATGTCATCGTTGGGCCTGCGTGATACATGCCCACGGTGCCAATCGCATCCAACCGCACCCCCCCCCTCCCGCTGCCGCCGCACCTACACCCATCAAAGGAACGATGCTGCCGAAACACCAACGGACGCACCCACGTGACACGCCGACTCGAGGTGGTGGTGTTGTAATGCTTGCTTGGTGCGCAGATGCATCGTGGGGGGTTCCTTGCAAAAATTTCGTAGCGTGTACGTTCACAGTGGGGGAGGAGAATAATTCTCGGCGTTACGTCCGCTGGTTTCGGCGACGACCCTCATGTCGAATTCGTTGTTGCTGCCAACATGGCAAACCACTGTGGCCAGAGGAATGCCCCCCATGTGATGCCAGGTCACACCATACAAACCACCGAGTCGCGCCCGGCGTCGGCGGTGGACGTGGAAGGGCGCTGCTTGCCATCCAACTCGTGACGTGTTGTTTCGCTGCTGGACTTGGCAGCGTCATGGTGGAAAGACGAGAGGGATCAACCAAACTTGCTTCGATCGTGTTCTACTGGTTCGGGATTAAATACGTGGAATCCGTCGGTGGCCTGGACGTGGGTTCTATTCCTTTGACGACCTCTTCATGGGCGACCATGAAATCCTGGCCTAGCTTTGGCAAACTGGCGCAGCATTTGGTGCATGAGCTGTTTCTGGGCTTCCAGCCCTTGGTTGACTCGAATGAAGCTTGCCATGAGGTCATCGTCGTCGTCGCTGTCGCACGAGACAATGCTTGGCTCGTACGACGGCGACAGGACGTAGTCTTCGCTTTGGGCGGTGGTGCGGCACGTCAAGTTGCTCTCGCGGCCGCCGGCTTTCTTGTCGCTGGACGACGCGCTCGGGACCTCCCGGAAGGCAGGTACGGGTAGGAGGTCTTGCGCCACGTTGTCCCGGAGGCTGTCGTCGTCGGCGTTGGGGGCGACTGTGGCGGTGGCTGACATCGCGCCGTCAAAGAGGCGGATGTTTGATTGCAACTGGAGCTGTCGCTTGTACGGCAGGACCTGGCTCGCGGCCACGTAACACTTTTTGCACACAGCAACTTTGGTAGCACCGATGTGGGGCGATGCTTCGGACGCCCATACGACACATTTGGTGCACACAGTATGACCGCACGCGCGGCAGAGGTGACGCTTGGCTGGTTTTGCCTTGATGATGCTGGCATTGCACGACGCACACAACGCCACAGGTATTGTGGACGTGTGGTGGGGACGCTGTGGCGGATGGGCAAGCAACCACTTTTGGCGGAAAAAGTGGGGCATATGCTCGAGGATTTGGCCATGCTGGACAGCATGTTTGTTGAACAGAAACGATGGGTACGCGCCCTTGGGGTCGGCGTGGTAGTAGTGCACGCCTTCCACGCGAAAATCGTGCAGCTGCGTCAACAAAAAGTACTCTTTGAACGTGAAGTGTTGCGGCGACTGGCTCCACGCCGAAAACGACTCGCGCACAACGAACAGCACCTTGTGGCCTTCGCGATCGGCGGTTGTCCCAGAGTATTCGACGTACGTTGCGCAGCGATTGCCAACGGTCAGGTCAAGGTGCATCGTGATGGATTTGACGCCAAACCACAGGAACGGGTCTTCGTCACATGATGAGAGCGTCGTGTTCAGGATGGCGCCGTCGACAAATCGGTGGGGGTACATCATAGCCATGTGGTTGCGGTGCTCGGCGGGGGACGCATTGTGGAAAATGTACGCGAAGTCGTCGAGGGTCATGGTGTCGAACGTGCTGATGCTGAGGACTTCAACAAACGGCGACCTCTTGTGCTGCTTGATTTGAGTCGCTTTGCGTTTGAATACTCGAACTGCGGCGTGTCGGTCCGATGACGCGAGCCTGTACCCTTCAAACTTTGCGTCCGCTTCGCGCGAAGCCGGGCTGCTCTGCATGGCCTGGACGACGGTGTCTCGTAGCTGGTACTTCCATTTGCGGTACTGATCTTCGTCCAATACAAAGGACGTAGATTTGGACATCGTCATCGAGGCATCGTGAGGCATTCTCCGGCGACGAAGATGGAAAATGACAGCAACGCGCGCATCGTGGCAACCGCGCATGGTTGCCAGGTCGACCATGCTCACTAAGTGCGTCGTATCTCAGCCAAGGTTTATGGCGTTTTTCGCTGGACAAGTAAAACGCACTTCAATTGTAACCTTGCTTTTGTATGCGCATACAAATTTGAAGTTCTCCGAACCGTGCGTTAAACAATCAAGTCGACGTCGCACTTTACGGAACTGCTCGCTCGTGATGTCCCCATTCTCAGGTCGATGTTACAGCGCGCGATGGATGCCCTGAGTGGAGAGCGAGCGCCACACCTGACGAGAGAACGCCACCTGCCATCCTGTGAACTGTACTGCATGGCGGGGTGGTTTGGGTGCTAGTGGACCATGGATCATTCGGAAGGTTTGTCAAGGATCTGTGCGCCGTGCTGACCTCCCACACGTCGCAGACGGCAATGGGTCGGACGTTGGCGGCCGCAGATATCCCCCCTCGCAGCCACGGCCATAGATACCAAGGACCTTAGGGTAACTTCACAGACGTTGAAATGCATGGATGGGAATGCTGCGTCCGGGAGTGCCGTCACTGTGCTGGGGGAAGCGTTTTTCACTATTTGGTTGAGTGCTGAGCCATGACCAGACGCCGTCGCTTGGCCCCTGCCACTGGTGCGCTCCGACAACCTTTGCGTGGTGGACAGAGAAACCATCGCATCCGCTGGGGTCGCCGTCGACGAGCTCGCGAAGGTAATGACTGGAGTTGTTGCCAACTTTCGCCAGTAATCGGTGGATCGTATGTTCCACGTATTACAGCTGCATTGTGTTGGCCAGTGACGCGGATGGCGGCTGATCCTGTCAAGCTGATGCCACCTTTGCGTTTTTCATGCTCGACGCTAGCAGTAATCGTAGGGCGTGTGATGGCTGCAGATTGACTGCGACGCACGGCTTGCACGATATGATGATGGTCGGACTCGGCGGAGTTTGCGACGGCCATCGAGCCACCAGCGGGTTTACGCGCCATCGTATGGAGGTACATGCGCCAAAGCTTCGCCGACGTCTCCACATGACATGAATTGTGTAGTGGTTACTAACCGTAATGGCCAGCCAAACTTGACCCACCACATCAAAAAATCCACTGTCCATCGGGCAGGGCAGAATATTTCTTGACGACATGAAAAATTCAACAGCGTTTGTGTCAAATGACATTCAACTCGTTGGCTCAAACGGACGAAAAAACAATGTGTTCATGATTCAACGAAAGGAAAAAATGAAAATCCAAATACCATATTGACAGTGAATTGCGCAAAGCTTGATTTTTCCAAAGATTTCCAACATGCCGACCGACGAAATGACATGTTTTTATCGTTGAATCCCTTACAAGTTGGCGACGACATATTCTGCAATGCGCTGCTCCATGTAAATCCGGTCCTCCAAGTGGCGCGGCGAGTGGCGCTCCTTGGGGAACAAGATCAGGTCGTAGTGCTTTCGGGCCGCGATCAGCGCGTTGATCAACCGAGCCGTGTGACGGAAGTGCACGTTTTCATCGATGAGACCGTGGATCAGGAGCAGCTTTTGGTGGGGCTGCAAATGCTGGACAAAGTTCATGATGTTGCCGCGAGCGTAGCCTTCGGGGTTCAATTGCGGAGTCGACATGTACCGCTCCGTGTAGCACGTGTCGTAGCCGTCCCACGACGTGACGGGGGCACCAGCCACGCCGAGCTTGAATGTTTTCGGCGCCTTGACGAGCGAGATCGCACTCATGTACCCGCCGTAACTCCACCCAATCATGCCGACGCGGTCGGCGATCGTAACGCCGTCCGCAATGAGCTTATGGACACCGTCTTCTTGGTCCGAAATTTCAATCGTGCCCATGGCGTGCTTGATCGCGCCTTCAAAAGCCAATCCACGGCGGAACGACCCACGGTTGTCCACCTTGAGCACGGCGTACCCCATGTTGCGGAAGAGTTGGCTGCGCATGTCTACAGTCACGCTCCACGCGTTCTGCACGCGCATCACGTGCGGTCCACCGTACACGTTGACCATGGTCGGGTAAGGTCCCGGGCCGAACTTCGCCGGGTCTGGCTTGTACAAAGCGCCGTACAGAGTGGTCGTGCCGTCCCGCGACGTGAAGGAGAACGTGGAGGGGGCTTCGATGCGGTCCTGGAGCTGCGTCAAGCGCGGGTCCGACGTCACATGCAAAGTATGCACGGCGACGGGAGCCGGCGACGCCAGTTTGTACACGACGGCCGTGGGGGGAGTGGTCAAGTTGTGAAACACATCAACAAAAATCGAGGCCGAGCTGTCAAGGACGACGTTGTGGATGCCGGGGGTGGTGGTGACTTGCGTGATGGGAGCGTTCGGGATCGACAGGGACGTCTGGAACAAATGGCGCTCAATCGGGGACGTCAAGTTTCCGCTAAAGTAGAGCACGTCGCGTTCCAAGTCGATGCCGTCGATCGATTCGACGTTGCCTTCGCCGTGAGTCAACGGCCGCACCAGGGTCGCGGCGCCGTTCGCAAACTCGTACAAGTACAAGTGCATGAAGCCCGTGCGTTCGGAAGCCCAGATAAACGTGAACGTACCGTCCGGGCGGGATTCTAGGTTGCGGTACAAGTAGTGCACGTTGTGCCAGATCGCGGACGTTTCGTGGATGAGTTCGACAAGGGTTTCGGTCGCAGGGCTCCATCGCAAGAGCGCGACTTCCGTTTGCAGGCGGTTCAATGTTTCAATGCCCAACGTGCCATCGACAAACCAGTGGACGCGGCTGATGTAGAAATCTTCCTCCGTGAAGTTTACGAACACGGGTGTCTCGCGCTGCGTGAGGTTCACATTTTGCACCGCAAGACGGCGGCGTGGGTTGGCTTCACCGGCAAAGGGGTAGCGATGGTCTTCTTGCGCATTTTCACCCAACTCGGCACTGCCCGAATGCATAATGCGGAATTCAGGGATGTGCGTGTCGTCGATTTCTTCGAACGCGATGCGAGACGAGTCTGGGGACCACCAGAATCCTCGGAAGCGGGACAGTTCTTCTTGGGTCACAAAGCACGCCAGCCCGTGGCTCTTGCCGGCTTCGCGCGCTCCAAAAGTAATTTGTGTCGCTTGCTGGGTCGCGCCTCCAGGAAGTGGGTCCGCGGCGATGACGTAAATTTCATTCTCTTGGACAAACGCAATGTGACGGCCATCGGGCGAGTATTGCGGATCGATCACACCACCCTTTGCACCCGTGGATGCTTTGTCAAACAAGAGCACGAGTTCAGCTCCCGGATATTCTTGCAGGTACAAGTTGCCATGGAGCGGGTACAAGATGCGAGTCGACTGCTGCGCAGGGCACCACAAGTACGAAGTGATACCGACACCCATTTGACGTTGTCGTTCACGGCGCAACTTTTCTTCCAGGGACATGTTGTTTTCCGTGTTGCCGCTGCCGGGGGGACGCGCGACGAGCGTCACTTGCTTGGACTCGATGTCCATCCCGTACAACTCCTGCGACAGTTCATTGCTGGAGCTGTGGAGAAACGCAAGCAAGCGACCATTCGGGGAGAACTGGAGGTTCGTGGGGGCGTTGCTGCCGGGGGTCGGCAACCGCGCGACATCTTCGTACGTAATCGTCGTCGGGACTGGAGTTGTCATCGTCTTGGCGCTTGTTTGAAAATGGGCAAAATGCCACCAACCACGATAACATACAGCCCTACCCCCTCCCATGAGCCCTTGCCATCTCCCCCATCCCTACGACCCGAATTTTAGCCAATCATGCGCATTTGAGTACCATTTAGCCAATCAAATCGCACCAAGTGCCCTCGTTGGTGGCCAACTTGAAGTTGGCGGTGGGGACTGTCTCAGAGGGTAAGCATCGTCGAAGGTGGCGCCGAGATGCGACTGCGCGGTGATCTGTGGACTGTGTCTTCGTGTGGTTAGGAAGCCCGTGGAAGTGCCGAAGCGAACGACGAGAATGCAGGAGATGCAGGTACTGCGATGCTCCAAGGAACCACCTTCCATCGCCCTCTGTCACGCAAATCCAACTGGATGTTCATGGTGGGAGAGGCTCGGCGTGGCGCCACATAAGCTGCGCATGGTGTACCTGCGTCGTGGGATGATCAAGCACGTGCAAGAATGACCTAGCTACCACCGCGACCACGTGTCCCACCTAGCTGCCGCCACGACCACGTGTTCTTGGGACCAATCAGCACCAGACGTATGAATCCCGTCGACCGGCACTCGTGAGAAGATCAACTGACATTCAAGAAATGCGTTCGTCCACAATGCCTGAAATGCCGTCGACAGCGTGAGGAGGCAGGGACATCGTGGTCTGCTTGGTCGTGGCGGTCTCGAGACTTTGGAGTTGATCGCAGAGATCGTCGTGGGAAGATCCCGAGGGACTGTCAACTTGAAAGCGATCTCGGCAGATGTTGGACCTTCATCTTGACGCCCACAAGCAAGGTCGACTGGATGAGTGCCAATGCGCTAGGCACACTCGATCGCACTCGAACATCGGATGGGTTGCAAGCCATTCTCGACACTATACACGGTGGGAGACCATGGCGTTTTCCTGGCATTATCCGACTAGGATGGATTCGCTGTGGTAGCGAACTCGTAAGCCTCCATCTGGGCGACGCGTCGTTCCTTTGGCTCGTAACGCCGCCTTGACAAACACGAACAAGGTACGATAGCTGCCAGGGTGCGTTAATGCTGTGGAGCATTGTCTGAAGACATGTGAGGAGGACTCGAGCAGGTCAATGGATTACTACTGCGCGTCCGTATGTGGAGGCTTGCTTTGGCTCCGCGCCATGCCATGGCGGTACTAGATTTTCGCTCGGTGCCATTCCCCAGCAATCGCACTTGAGGATGCCCCAGGCACATGTAGGAAACAGTTCGCAGCGAGTCGATCGGCAAACGGTTCATTCCCTCGATTTAACTTGACCCGGCAATTGCTAATACAAATATTGAAGTGTGAAGTTAACGTTATGCTGTCTGTTCAATTAAGCAGTCTTGGCTTTGACGGCGTCGTCGACGGCCTTGGCATAGAGACGGGCCTTGCGCCCTTCCCATGCTTGCAGCGCGCGCTTGCGATCCGTGACCAAGCCCAGCTTAGCCATTGTGTCGATGAACAACTTGGTTGGGTTCCACTGCGCCGAGATGCCGAATTCGCTGGCGGCGTAATCGTACGGGAACACGTGGTGCCAGTTGTGCCAGCCTTCGCCCATGGCGAAGAACGCGACCCAGGTGTTTTCGGTCGGGCCCATGTCGGGGTCGTAGGGCTTGGTGCCGTAGAAGTGAGCAGCGCTGTTGACGAGCCACGTCGCATGCAGGACGAACACGTAGCGGAAAAACCCGCAGACCAAGATGCCGTTCACCCACGACTCGTTCCACCCGTACGTGGCCACAAGCATGGGGAAAACAAAGCACATGAACAAGTTGATCCACGGGTTCAGGCGTTCCTGGAACATCACAACCCAGTCTTCCTTCAAGTCATCGCAGTTGATCTTTTTGCCGGCCTCAATCACTTTAGCATCCTTCTTCACGAGCAACCAACCGACATGGGCAAAAAACAACCCACGGTTCGCGTTATGCGGGTCGGCTTCCGTTTCGCTCCACTTGTGGTGCACACGGTGGTCGCGGGACCAGTGGTAGATCGTGCCTTGGTTGGCCATCGCGTTACACAACATGAGGAACACGCGGACAGAGTCGGCTGCCTTGTACGCCTTGTGCGACCAGAGGCGGTGGACGCCACCCGTGATGCCGAGGCCAGCAAGTTGGTAGCACGTCAACGTCCACACCCACGTTTGCCACATGCATGATGTGAAATACGGAATCGCAGCAACAGCGAGAGCGTGACAGTACCCGAGGTAGATGACCATGGGCCAGTTGGCGTTCGCAATGTGCTTCTTCCAGTCCACCATGAAGCTGTATTGAGGAGAACGGCGCAAAAGAAGGAATGACGGAAAGCATGGGACTTCCACCGTGCAATCGACCGGGCTCGCCTCCTCACCCGGCACCAACCCAGACCCATTCGTCGCGATTCATTGGCGCGGACGTGATGTCGTCATCGTGCCAGAGAGCGCCATCCTTTGCTCTGATTGCGTGACGTCATCCACTGCACCGCTTACGTTGCCCAATCCGATGGCGTTGTACAAATGCCAGTGTTTTGATTGGTGTATTCCGCGTCTCGAGGTGACGTCTGTCGGCCGTTGTCGCGACACAGTCGAAAATGTAGGGATTTGATTGGTCTGAATTCAGGAAAATTGCGAAAAACCCTGAAAACCCGCCAATTTTCGTCGAATTTGACAAGCCCGTCACGGCCTCTCCCGTCCACCGCGCGCAAGATCGAGGCGGCGATGAAAGGACGCATGCACAAAGACATGGTGGCCTCCGTGTGCTTGTCTGTGTGTTCACACCGAAAGGGATGATCCGCGGAAACTGGAACAGACGCCACAGAGGCTGACGTCGTCTCGACCCACCTCCGACGTCGGACAAGCTCTTGGCCATGTCAGTTCCCATCTGCTCGACTTGGGCACGCACAGGAGTCGCTCGGTGAAAGGGACGACGACCTCATGTCCGTTCGACGGCGAGTCGAAATACACATATTGTTGTGGTGGTCGACCTGGTCGTTATGGAGGACGAAAAAGGTGCACCGCAACAGTCCATCCACTGGCAGCAGGCACAAGCGGAGTCGACCTGCTCACACCGTACCTGCGGTTCTACTGCGCATTGCATGCGACGTACGATACCTTCGGCATACACTCGACCTGATTTGGCACGCACATGCATGCCATTTACTCGATTGTCTTAGGGCCGCGTGACCCACACACCCCTTTCAATGCCCCGCTTCCATTGCTCGCACGTCGAAACAATTGCGTGCTAGGAGATGCCCCGATGCGACGACGTCGATCCCAACGTATATCGCCATCGGCCTCCATGCATTTGAACATGACGACGTGACTGTACATTCCGTGTTAAATCGATATGCTCAATACATGTCAAAAATGCACATGTCGTGCATACAAGCAAATGTTGCAGCGAAG